GTAATAAAACAAATCTGGCTTATATTTGAACAAATATGTCCTCATTTAAGGAGTTTTAAGGTTTCCTTCTTGCGTTGACTGTCTTAAGCTTTATGACAATGTCTGGCTCTTAATATTAGTAAATGGCATGACACACTATATCCATGGAGAGCTTTTGACAAAAACTTATTTATTAGAATTTCTTTGGTGTGTGGTTTACTCAGGTGGCTTCAGTTTCCCTTTAGTAAAATAATATTTCCATGTTGGTGCCAGAGTACATAAAAATGTTGTTACTGTGAACGCATCTTCTGCAGATGATACCTGTTCCCTTTCTTTGTTGATATTTTTCTTTCTTAAACTTTGTCGCTCAGAATATCTTTAATGCTAGCCAAGGAGTCAGGGATTTGGACGTATTTTCATGGACTTCCAAAGCTTTTTTCCCCCAGGTGAGTTAACTGTAAGGAACAATCATATGTTATTCAGGTATTTCAGCATGTATAACAAATTTTATATTTTATCTTTGAAGCCTTTGCTTAAGATTGATAAAAATTATTTACCAAAGAAAGATTTATATCAAGTGCTGCAGTAATTTCCCTTCTACTCCTGCCAAAGACTGTATTACTAATTAAGTGAAACTTTTGCATGACTTCAAGTTTGCTACATTTAGTTTTATGACTACCCTCTCCAACTATTATCTCCAAGTTTAGCCTTTTCAGAACTAACTTATTTAAGTGGTAGTGTCCTGACTTTATGACTCTTCTGTTTTTTCTACTGGCTCTTCTTACACATTGCCCTTTTGAGTGTTTATCTAAGAATGGGGTGGGAATGGAGGGAAAAAAATTATATTAGAATTCACCAATTTCATACACTGGTGCCTGGGTCTCACATTTCTGTATTGAAAATATAGAGTGTATTTTAGGATTGCTTGAAAATGACATGCACAGTTCCATGAATTTATGTCTATCGTGTATTTTTTATACTGTTTAGCACAAAAAATTGGATAAACTTTGTTTTACATTAATTTATAATATTCAATAAAATATTAACTATTTTAATAAAAGTTCTTATATATTATCTTTCAGTGGATAGTTTGCAGTTATTATTAGCTTTGCCAAGACTTATTTCCCAATGTTACCCTGACTGATCAAAAGTTAGCGTTAGTATTATAACTAATTAAATGCACCAGGCATATCATCACCAGTGAAATTATTTTTGCTATTCTGTGCATATTTGCCTGTCATTTTTTATGTTGCCATGTAATTTTTAAAAATCAGTTGTAAATAGGACTAAAACTTTCCTCTTGCAACTATGAAATGGCATCATATATTTATTAAAATTGACCATTTACAAATAGACATTTTTAAATGCTTTCTGAAAACCTTGTGAGTATAATAACTCTATGTAAAGTTTAGATCTTACTGTCAATTTTTATTTTGTGTGCTCTTTGTGTATTCATGAAGGTACTCATATATAAATTTTTACAAATATGCATGCATGGATATATGAAATGCATATTTTAAGTTTCTTTTCAGTTGTAAACTTAATCTAAGTTTTTCTAGTATTTAAAATTCTCTTGTCCATTAAATTACCAATATATAACTAAAAAATATTGGTAAATATAGTGTGGTAATTACAGTAAACATAAATAAATTGTCCATAGTACATAGTTGTGTAAGTAAAAATTGATAATTATTTATCACTACAATGAGATTTACAAAATATTATGTGAAAGTTAATAGTGGGTTTAAAATTTCCCCTGATCAACTGTATGTTGAATTAACAAAGTCACAGGTACAGAGAATTCTTGAATACACATATTTTTTAACCCAAGGATTTTATTTTTGATTTTCTGCTATGTATATGGATATTATATCTCTCTCTCTTAATATGAGACTACTCACAGGGGTAGAAATATTCAGTAGAATTTTATCTTGTATGATGTTAGTTTTTTCATTTTTATTCTATTTATCACATTATTAAATATTAATTTTAACCTAATATTTGTATGCATGTTCCATTATAGTTATCTATTGCTGTATTTTAATAAAAGT